AGCTCTTGTGAGCCGGGGAGCAGAGCATCCGGGGAGAAGGGTCGGGCCTCCCACCCCGTACTAGTCCTCTCTGCCACGGGCGGGGGCGCTGGAGAGGGCAGGGGCGCGGCAGGGAGGGGGCGGGCGCGGCTCAGCTCTGGGGTTCCTCGGGAGCCTCGCCCCCCTCCTCCCCGGCGTTGTCGGCCGTCCACAGCGTCAGGTTGTCTCGCAGCAGCTGCATGATGAGGGTGCTGTCTTTGTAGGAGTCCTCGCTGAGGGTGTGCAGGTCAGCCATGGCCTCGTCGAAGGTGGTCTTGGCCAGCGAGATGGCCTCCTCGGGGCTGTTGGCGATCTCGTAGTGGAAGACTGAAAAGTTCAGCGCCAGGCCCAGGCGGATGGGGTTGGTGGGCGGCATCTCCTTCTTGCTGATGTCCATGGCCTCCTGGTAGGCGGACCGGGCCGAGTCAATGATGCGCTTCTTGTCGTCACCAGTGGCCACCTCAGCCAGGTAGCGGTAGTAGTCACCCTTCATTTTCAGGTAGAAGACCCGACTCTCGGCGTCACCGGCCTCCTTGATGAGGTGGCTGTCCAGCAGGCCCAGCACTGTGTCACACACGCCCCGGAGCTCAGTCTCCACCTTCTCCCGGTACTCTCGCACCTCCGGGCCCTTCTCTTCCGAGCTCTCCTCGTTGCCTTTCTGCTCGATACTGGACAGGACCCTCCAGGCAGCCCTCTGGCCGCCCACCACATTCTTGTAGGCCACTGAGAGCAGGTTTCGCTCTTCGCAGGATAGCTCCTCACCCTTTTCCACAGCGCTCTTCATGAAGGCTGCCATGTCCTCGTAGCGTTCGGCCTGCTCTGCCAACTTGGCCTTCTGGATCAGACTGGCTCTCTCCATGGCTCTGGCGACAGACACAGGCGGCGGGCTAACTGGCTGCCTCGAAACCAATGCCGGATTCTGTGCCTCTCCTGCTGTCTGCCTGCCTTTTGGCTGGGTGGCCTGGCCTCAGAGAAGGGTGGGGAGGGACAGAGGGCGGGGCTGGGGCCCGGACCTGCCTCCCGCTTCTCTTCTCTTCTCCCCACACCCTTTCCGGCTCTTCCTTAAAGGTAAAAGGCTAAGATGTGGGGTGAGTCATCCAGGCAGTCAGCAGGAGAAATCCGGCCCCACCTGCACAGACACCTTTCCAGGCTCCAGGCTGCCCCCTCTTGTTCAGGGCTTCGATTTACATGGGTGCCCACAGAGCGGCCCCACTTTCTCAAATCAGATCTTCCTTCCTGGTGTTCTTCCAGGGGCTGAGGGTTCTTCAACCAACGGGCCGCTTCAGCCTGGCTAGAAGCCCGGCTGGGCCAGGCTAGAAGCCTGAGCCTGGCCGCTCCCAGCCTTGCTTCAGGGGAGCTAATTACGTTTAGGTAGGGCTGTGGTTTCCCAAGCACCTTCACGATTGAATTTAATCCCTACCGTGTCTCTGTGAGATGGGCCAGACTGTGACTATTACTCCCACTTTAGAGATGGGAATGCTAAGGCTCAGAGAAGTATGAGATTTGCTCAGGGTCACACAGCTACTAAGTCCCCAGCATCCTTCTTCCTTTGGCTTCTCTCGCCGCGGCCTCTGACTTGTGAGCTCCAGGCTGTTATTTAGAAGTGAGATCCAGGCTTCTTCCAGAGTCGGCCTGAGATGGCGCTATCCCCTGGTCATCACTGCCCCCCAGGGTTCCCGCTGAGTTCCCAGAATGCACAGGTGGCATCTTTCAGGGTGCCACTTAATGAGGTGTTTAACGAGCGGCCCCTGACGCTCCAGCCCAGCCTTTGTAATTAATCACCTGGTAGGTTTGTTGGACACCTTCCCCATCACAGCACAATTTTCCCTTTCAACTTGGTGGCCTGTTGCTACTTGTTTGAGGACCTACCCTCTGGCTCTCCACGCCAGGTCACCTACCCCCTCCAAGCCGCCTGCCATCATGTATCAGTGGGGTTCACACAGGGTGGGGGCCCAGCTCTCCTGACTGACTCAGCCTGCCCTCTGTAAGAGGCTGGGAAGCAGGCCACTTGGGTGCTCAGTCCAATTTGGTTCCCCAGGCGGGGGTCACTAGCACCTGGGGAGAGAGACAGGACCGAGAAAAAAGAAGGTGGTGGTGACACATACCATTTTGTTTTAGGGGGTAGCAATCCCCAGCCTGCCTCTCAGAAATGTCCCTGTCCCTTCCGTTTGACTATGGCCCTCCCTCTGACCCCTGGCAGAGGCCTCAGAGATGGGAGACTTCTTTCTGGCCAAACTTCTGTCCCTGTTTGCTGGGATGCTGTTCTCATTCAGCCAGGAGTTTCACCTAAAGGTGTTGGCTGTGCCTGTGAGGGTGGGTTCCTACTTACCTGCTCCACCCCTAGCCAAAGCTCCGATGGGGCTCAGGGGTGGGGCTCCCCTCACTGGGATCCAGCCAGCTTAATCTTTGAGCCAGGACCATTTCATAGGCCTGTTCCTCCCTAGTTCCTCATGGTGCCCGAATACCCACCTTCCCCTCCTGGAGGCAGGCTTAGGCCAGAACTCTGAGGCCCAAAGATGAGATCTGTCTCTTTGAAGAAAAAGTAGGAACATGCCTGGGCTGATGCTACACGTTTTCCAAGGAAGCAGAAGGGATTTTAGGCTTGCCATCCCTAAGACTCGGCTCAGATTGGATCCCCGAGACAGAAAATGATGGAAAGGAAATGCACTAAGATAACTAGTTTAATAGAGCATATCTTTAGGTAGTGGTATTCTGAGTGATTTATTTCCTTTTGATTTCCCTATTCTCTTCAACGATAGATATGTATTATTTTTCTACGAGACACAGAATAGCCTAGTGTCGTTGGAATCAGACTGCCTGGGCTCAATTTTTGGAAGCTGTTAGGACCTTGACCAAGTGACTTAACCTCTATAAGTCTCCATCTTCGTAAGTGTAAAATGGGGCTTGTTGTGAGGATTAAATGAGTTGATGGAAAGCACTTAATAGAGTGAATGGTAACCATTATTACCATGTGGAAAAAATCCAATCTTATAATCACATACACTCAAAACACTAACATGGAGCTGGGGGTTCTGACATGAGAAAGGGTCTCAAACCAAGCCTCAGCCGAGTGTCCCTGGGGGAGAGAAGACAGGTGAATGGTCAAATGCGCTCCCTCAGCAAGGCCTCCTCCCTCCCCGTCAGACATTCCTCTGGCCTAAGCAGGCCCTAGGCTCTCTAGGACCGTCCTTCGCACTAGTCATCCAGCCCAGGCTTTCCCGAGTCCTGGGAGGGGGAGGGAGGAAACTGGAGATCCCAGAACACCAGAAACCTAGAAGGCACGGCCTGGCAGGCCTAGGCATTTTGGAGTTGCTCTGTCTCTAGGGAGGCAGCATTCCCTTCCTATCACTCAAGCCAAGGGACCTGGTGGTGGTTCACACCACAAGCTCCAGCCCTTCGGCCCAGCCAGAAACCCAGAAACGAGAAGAGGGAAGAGAAAACTCTTCACTCTTCCCCCTCCCCTGCTGAAGCTTAGGAGTGAATCTGGGAGCCAGGCTGCCTAACACCTCCTGCCCGCTCTGGCCTGTCGATCCTGACTCAGTTCCTGTCTCAGACACCTCCCTTTGCCTCCAGGGCTCCGTTTCCCAAGTCCAGAAGCCCAGGCAGGCAGGAGGCGGCAGGCCCCAGCAGGGCACTGAGTTCCACTGTCAGCCTCCTGAGTCAGCAGGACAGGAGCTGGGGCCTCGGCCCCAGGGGGCATTCCTCATCTTGCCTGCTACCTCCCCATCCTTCCATATAGCATCCAACCTGCCAGCAGGTTCAAGGCTCTGGTCCAGCCCTTAGCTGGTAATCACGGGCTTCGAAGGGTTGTGGCACAGAGAAGGCAGCAACCGGTTGCTATCCATCATCTCCACTGAGAACAGAGGACAGGGCTCCAAATGCAGCAGGAGGGACTCTGGTTAGATTCCAGAAGGAACTTCCTACAAAATGTTGTTGAGTCTTGGAATGATCAAGTAACTGGAGGAAGCTATGGTACCTCTCCCGCTGGTTAGTTGTAAGTAAGAGTTCAGTTATCCAGACAAGAGCTCACTCTACTAGTTGCCTTTGGGAGGAAATATTAGATTAGTTTTAAGTGACTCAGCTCTCCTGAGTCCTTTTCTCCTCCAGGCACTGTTGTTTAGAGTATCCCACATCTCCTAGACCAGTCCAGTCTAGGACATAGTGTGGGGTTTGTGGAAGAATGGAATGAGGTCAGGCTGTGGGACTGCATCCCACCTGTTACAAGGTCTCGGACAGGTCCCTTCCTGCCCCTGAGCCTCAGTTTCCCCATCAGCACAGGAAGGCCAGTACAGATCACCTCTGATGGCTACGGGTAACATCTTGTAATTGGGTTTCTCCTTCTGAGATCCCCTCCTCCCCAAGCAGCCCTATTCATTCCTTGGGTAGTGCAGAAGGGTCAGGGGTTGGGGCAGAGACGGGGTCCAAATCCTAGATTTGCTGCTTTATCAGCTTCGGGAGAACCTTGGCAACTGCTGTGCCTTCCTTGAGCCTCAGTCCCTCCTCTGTAAAAAGGCTGACATCACCTCTCTCATAGCTTTAGGTGAGAAAACGGGCCTGGCACTTGGCTAGCCCTTGCTAAATGGCTGCTGTCATTATTCTTTTTTAGCTCCTAGCATACTGTGTGTGCCTCTCAACGCGGGCCAGCTGCTGGGGAGAGGGAAGGCTCCTTGACATGGCTACCCGGGGCTGGGCTCAGTTCAGGGGGTGACAGTCCCCGCTTGGGTTGGGACTTCTCAGAGCTGAGGTCACCTAAGGCTTGGAGGCCTCTGGCACTGAGACCAGTTCTAGAAGGGCAGAGTGAAGAGGACACTGGCCACTCCTCCCGTGTCACTTCTGGCTTCGCTGTGCCTTTTTTAAATCTCCGGAAGGGCACTGACCGACTGGAACAGAACCGGCAGTGGGGGCGAGCCAGATGTTCTGCACACTCATCACAGGCCTCAGGCCTGGACCCCGAAGGAAAGGTGGCACCAGACAGCCAAGGATATGGCAAGAAGAGGGAAACCTTTATTTGGTTAAAAAAGGTACAGACAGCAAACAAGCAGCCCCCAGCCGTGGGCTCAGCAGACTTCCTAGGCCCGGCCCAGTTTCCATTAGCTCCTCTGAAGAACGCCGGGCTGTGGAGCCAGCCCGGTCCCTCAGTGCCCGGAGCAAAGGGTACAAGCATCCCCCTGGCATCGCACCTACTTGGGGTGGTGGGGACGGAGGGGGCCGTGGGAACAGTGTCAAACCGGTTGTGCTTAGAACAGTCACCAAACTTGTTCGGCAGCGTCATCAACCACCAACACCCCAGAGGCTCCCGAAGGAACCTGCTCAGCCCCACTGTGGCTCTGCCTGACTCTGGGAGGGGGCAGGCTGTAAGGCAAGATTCCTGAAGAGTCTCGACACCTTACAAATCTGGGGAAGGGGAAGGGGAAGGGGAGTGGAGACGGGGGGTGAGTTTCAGCGTCGTATTGTATCACCGTGCTGACAGCTGTGGTATGGCTTTCTACACTCTGGCGTGGAGTGGGGGTGGGGGCAGAAAGGCCAGCCCCCGCCCCCTGTGGGGGGCTCTGGAGAGCACAAGGGCGGGGCAGGCTTGGGGGCAGACCCTGTAGGCACGGACGGTGGCAGGTGGGCCACAGGTTAGGCAGGTGGAGGTGCCGGGTGCCGGGCTCCCCTCAGGCCGCTCCTGGAGAGGCAGAGAGCAGCAGTCCTCAGGAGGTCCTTAAGCCCCCGCACACACTGGAGATCCCCGCAGGACAGCAAAGAAGGAGAAGAGAGAGGGTTAGCGGACCCGGGAGGAGACAGGAGGCCTGCGGGGGTGCCGCCTGCTCTCCCGGCACCTGCCTCTTCCCCGCGGGAGGGCCACGGCTGGGGCAGCAGGCGACGACGACGACGACGACGACGCAGCAGAGACACAGGCAGGGGAAGCTCAGCGGGGACGGAAGCAGGACACAGGTGTTCGTGACTGAGGGCTCCTGCACACCAGGACACCGAGAACAGGCCCAAGCACCTCCGAGCAGGTCCGCCCCCCCTCCCCAACCTCACCCTTCACCTCCTGCTCCGGTGGGAGCTGCTTCCTCAGTACAGAGCAGGGCTGGGCCCTCAGCCCTGCCTTCACGCCCCCGTCCTTCTGCTTGGGGGGGAGGGGGGAGCCCTGGGGGCCCTACCACCGCCAGCACACACACCACACCACACACCAGACAGATGAATGGGCTCCATGGGGTTGGCAAGGCATGCGATGGGGATGAGATGGCGTGTGAGGGGACTAGGCGGTGCTGGCCGACAGGGGAGACACGGTCTTACCAGCTAACCCTCTGCAAAGAGGCCTGTTAGCTCCCCTCAGGCTGTGCAGGAGATGGCAAAATCCTGACAGGTGTCCTCCTGGGGGAGATACCAGAGAGGTGGGCCAGGGTTACGAGTCGTCTGGCTGGGCCCTGCTGCTCAAGGCGGGGCTGGGGGCCGGGGAGGCTCCGGCTCGCAGATTGGAATCTAGGGTCTCGTAAACATTTTCTTAGCTGAGCGGTCACTGGGGTTCAGAGTGAAAAGGCAGCAAGGAAAAAGAACCTGGGGGTCTCCAAATCCCGGAGGCAGGGGAAAGTAGAGGGGATAAAAAGGAGACAGGATGGCCTCTTCTTACATGCCTATGGGGGCCACCTTGCTCAGTCTCCAGCGGACAGACTCGGCCAGGAGAGGAGACCCTTAGCCACATCACTGGCCTTCCTGCCTTCTGTCTCCCCAGGAAAGACCAAGTTTGGCTGAAAGAACAGAGGGCTGCCGGTCGGAGCCTCAGCAAAGAAAGAGCAAACAAAAACCAAACCAAAGCAAATCAACTCTTAAAAACGAAAATTTTATTACAAGCACGAACAAAGAATACTGGCTTAAATAAAAGGCAGGGGGCTTCCCCTCCTCTAGCCAGCCCCCTCCCCACTTCCCAGTGCCACTGCAGCATGGCCCGGGGTCCTGGTGCTGGGGTGAGGCTGTTTCTCCCAGGGGGGACCCTCTGCAGCTGCCAGTTCTCAGCTGCCTGTGACCCACTAGCTTCTTCAGCAAGGAAGGGCAAGAGGCGAGGACTTCCTAGGTCACTTTCCAAGGGCTTCAGCCCACTTGAAGGGCCAAGGAGGGAGACAGAACAATCTCCTATCTACTTTGACAAGAAACTACAGTTCCCCGCGGAGAAGAGACATCCTTTGACTTTGGGGCCCAGACGTAGGCCAACCTCCACTCGCTTCTCGGCCCACCCTGCTCCTTCCTCCCTTTTCTCTGGATGGAGTCCTCCAGCTGGCAGAGAGTCCCTGTTCTCTGGCCGCTGGCACCAGGTCCCATACTCAGAGCCGGGAGGAGGGTGTGCGGCTTGTAGAGTGGCAGCCGCTCCCCACAGCCATTACCCCATCTACCACGCCCAGCCTCAGCCAGTCTGGGCAGGTCCCAGGCTTCCTGATGTCCGAGGAGGAAGGGAAGATAGGAGGGTGGGGGCTGAGCTGCAGCGGGGAACCCAGAGGTCTCTTGCGATCACTGCACAGGCTCCCTGTTGCCGTGGCTCAGGCCGCTCCTTGCTGCTGCCAGCTGACACCCGAGGGGGATGGCGGGGAGAGGGGCAGCCCAGGGGATGTAGGGAAGCGGGAGCCAGCCGCATTCATACAAGGGCACACGCGAACACACGCACACACACGCACTCACAGCCAGACGTTCTCTTATAAATTTATAAAACCCAACTTGCTTTTTGCTAATCTTTAACCTGGCACTACACAGATAGCAATGTCACCGACTGTTTTTTCTTCCACTTAAAAAATGCTACGTAGAAAAGAGGTCTATAAAATTGTGCAAAATACCCAGCATTAATAAACCCGTTTCAAGTATTGCCAGCAAGAGGATAACCCACCCAGCCCAAGAACTGACTTGGGAGAGAGGTGGGGAGGCGGGGAGGTCAGACTGGGATCCCTTAGAGAACCCTCCATGGGTAGAGAGCAGGCAAGGCCCCCACTTCCTAGCGTGCTGCCCAGGAATCACGCAGGAGCCGAGGTCTTGGGTGCCTCGCTGGTGGTTCAGCCTTCTCTGACACAGGCTGTCTCCCACCACCCCCAACTCTGCCCTATCCATCTAGAACCCCAGCTTCATCCTATTGGCCGACGCCATACGAAAAAACACGAACGGAAGAAAAGAACAATGGTCATCACAAAAAGAATGAAGGAGCCCACAAACCACAACAGCCCATGGAGGCATCCTCTCCCACAGCCCGCTGTCCAGAGCCGAATGCTCTTAGGTCCCACTTCACCCCCAGGACCCCAGCTGAGCAGAGCCCACCGGCCCCCCCACCTGGGAGGTATCGCACGCAGTCCGCACCCGCATTCACACAGGGCTCGCCCCGGCACAGACAGAGACTCGGCATGGTCCCCTCGCGGCCTCAGGGGCCTTGGCCTCTCTCTCTCCTGTCACTCCTGCCGCTGATCAGCTGCAGGGATCTAGGGCCCAAGGCTGTGGGAACCTGGGTTTGGGGAGCAGAGGGTACAGCCACGGAAGTGCGGGGCAAGCCACGCAGGGTGGGAAATAAATACGAAAAGAGTCTTTGGCGGCTCTGCTTCCCTTGGATGGAATGGGGAGGGTCCCGGCAGGTGTGGAGGGTGGCAGGTGAATGCGGAGGGGTGGACAAGCCAGCAGGTGGCAGGTACTGAGCCCAGTTCAGGGGTGGCCTCCTACCATGCTGGCGTCAGGCTTGGCTCCGCAGGCTGGCTCATCGCTTCTGATGGGCGAGGGCAACACGGCGTCTGACTGCACAAATCCCCTCCGGTCAATGAGGCTTCCAAAACACAAGGGGGGACGTGAGGGCCCTGCCCAACACCAGCGGTCCAGGCCTGGGGCTGGATGGCAGAGTCCATTTTCCAGCCAAGAAAAGACCCAGCCCTAGAAAGTCTCAGAAAGGGGAGCTGATCTCCAGCTGGGGGCTCAAGACTCTTCCCTTCCAGAGCAGGGGAACCAGAAGGGCCCTCTCTGCACCCTGGACACCTGGTTTTGGACCACCTGATCGATGCACTGTGAATTCAAACCGGCCCATTTTTCGGTCTGGCTGCCACAAAGCCAGGCTGTGGGTGAGGGGAAAAGCAGGATGGAAGAGCATTTGGAAATAGTGCGATTCCCACTGTGACCTACCCCCACCCCCACTGCAAGGATGACACTCATACGAGGCAGGAGAAGTCGGGGACAGCGTGGGGAAGGTCTGGGTCCCGCAGTGCCCACTGCAGTGGAGCTCCTGTTCTGGCACTCTGGTGCCCCCTGGTGTGAAGACAAGGGCACTTCCCAGCAGGGCTGAACCCTCAGGGCGCCACCAGGAGGGAGGATGGAGACCCTGCCCGGTCCAGCCACCAGCACCGGAAGGGAAATGTTGCCCAAGAGTGGCCAAAACATTAATTGTGGTGATCACTGGGGAATAAGATTACATGTGATAGTTAGTACTCTTCTTTTTAAGATTTTGTACTCTATGTTTTTCTGCAATGAGCATATGTGATTAAAAATTACACGGAATTCAGGGGCGCCTGGGTGGCGCAGTCGGTTAAGCATCCGACTTCAGCCAGGTCACGATCTCGTGGTCCGTGAGTTCGAGCCCCGCGTCAGGCTCTGGGCTGATGGCTCAGAGCCTGGAGCCTGTCTGCGATTCTGTGTCTCCCTCTCTCTCTGCCCCTCCCCCGTTCATGCTCTGTCTCTCTCTGTCCCAAAAATAAATAAACGTTGAAAAAAAAAAATTAAAACAAAAAAAATTACACAGAATTCGGGGCGCCTGGGTGGCTCAGTGAGTTAAACGTCCAACTTCGGCTCGGGTCATGATCTCACGGTTTGTGAGTTCGAGCCCCGTGTCGGGCTCTGTGCTGACAGCTCAGAGCCTGGAGCCTGTTTCGGATTCTGTGTCTCCCTCTCTCTCTGTTCCTCCCCTGCTCATGCTTTGTCACTCTCTCTCAAAAAAAAAAAAAAAAAAAAAAAAAAAAATTACACAGAATTCTTTTGTGTGATAAATGCCTTGAGTGCGCCCTGCAGGGGATGGTGGACAGAGGGCTTCTGTGGTGTGAAGAGAGGTCTGCTGCTTCCAGAACCTCTTTGAGAGGTGTGGACTCGCAGGGCTATCCCCCCACTGGCCGGGCCAGGCCCTATGACCTCTCCCCATGCTCACCCCTGGCTTACCTGGGAGGTAGGGGGCCGCAGAGCACAGCACAGCAGTTGGTGATAACACTTTTATGGCTGTAGGGATTGACGGAAGCCTCACCGCCCCTCTTGCTGGACCACGAGCCTTTGATCTGCCAGCAGGAAGGAGGTCTGAGTCAGGTACCTCCTTTTACTTCAATTTTCTAGGAGGGAGGTCTAGAGGCTGGGAAAAACTGGTGAGAGTTTTTCCAATTCTGGGTAGACTATTGGAGGGGACATGTCTTTAACTCAAGCTATTCAGTGCGTGTGGGGGACTGCTGGATGTCGGGGGCACCTAGCTGAGAGGAGGAAGCCCTAATCAGGACAGAGAGCAGCGCACAGCCAAAGAGAAGCCTCCAAAGGAAACTTCTTGGGTGCATCCTCCCTTCTCCGGCCAGCCACCTCTAAGGGAAGGTAGTATAAGGGGACAGAGCTCAGGCTGACCTGGCTATGAGCCCTGGCCCTGCCCCGACACACTGCATGACCCTGGACAGAGCACTTCCCTGAATCTCAGTCCTCATTTGAAAAACAGGGAACTGTGATAGCATCGTTGGAGATGAAATCTTGCCATCTCTAGATTTGTGAGGCCAGCTATCAAAGGCACTGAGGAGTTTAGCAACGAAGGATACTTGCTTGACTTTAACCCAGAGTTTCCCAAACTCATTTGGCTATAACACATCTTTTTGCTTAACCCCTAGTAACATCTTGAAGAACCAGCACCCACAAAACTGCCTTGGGAGATGCTGGCTGATGTCATTTCTGCTCTGTACCAATCATTCAGCACATGAAACCCTATCATGAGTGTTAAGTTCTGTTTCCCAGAATGAGAGGCTGAGGTCAAGAGATGTATTTTCTGTTGGTCATGGGCCTCTGAGCAGTAGCTGATGGTGGCCCTGGCACAGATGCTGTCATTTGCTTTTTTATCGTTTGGGAGAAAAGAAGGAGAGGTCAGGTCGGGCCCGGGGCTGAGCACACAGTGGGCGCTCAAACAATGCTTGCTGGTGGGGGTCTGAAAGGCAGCAGGTAGGGAGGGTTGACATAGCCCCATAGTCCTATCCTTGCTGTCTCCCTCAATAAGGATGCCCAAGGGAACCCCGGGGCACCCTGAGAATAGTCACATCTCTTTGCCTGTAAGTGCAGTGTGGTGGGGCAAGGGTAGCCAGGGCTTTTGGCCACAACCCTGACTCTGTCCCTTTCCGGCCGTGTGACCTTGGGGCAAGTCACTCAGCCATCAAACAGGAGAAAAAGCATCCCTGTTCCTTCTGCCTCCGAGTTGGCAAAAGGACCCAAAGAGATGATGGGAGCTGAAAGAACTCTGGAGACAGTTAACACGCAGGCCAAACGTAAGGACTGTTACGGTGGAGCACTGCCTCTGGGTTAGCGAGAAAGCCTGCGCGGAGGGGCCAAGGCACGTGGGGGCCTTAGAAGACCCTGTACTGGATCTCCCAGGGCCAAGCCAGGAGCACTGGAAGGCAATGTCTGGCCACCCTCTGTCCCCACCCGTGTTACCCCAGCAGCCCGAGTCAGGCGAGTCAGGCTGCTCTGCGGCCGCGGCAGGCCCCCTCCGCCCAGGCCCAGCCTCCTACCTTAGGGCCCCGCCTCCTGCCTAGGGCCCCGCCTCCTGCCTAGAGCCCCGCCTCCTAGCCAGGGCCCCGCCTCCTGCCCAGGGCCCCGCCTCCTGCCCAGTGAATGGAGGTTGCTCCAGCCTTACTCACGTCTTCGTTAGTTGTCAGGTTGGAGGCGACGAGGTAAGTATGAAACCCTGAGAGGCCCAGGATGGACCAGATGGAGAAGAAGCAGATCACCAACTCCAGCACAGTGAGCAGGGTGGTCAAGGACCCACACCGGGACAGGGCTGGGGGCCTCCCCGGCCCCTGGAGGCCTGCCATGCCCAGCCCTTCTCACCTATCCTTCCGTGAGTGATTTCCCCAGAAAGGAGATGAGTTTGTAACCTTCCTGCGGTCCAGTCACCACTTCTCGACAGGATTACCTCCTGAGCCCTAAGAAGGGTTCGGGAGCCCATTCAAGAGCAGGACGGGTGATGGACAGTAGGGGGAACTGAAGTTGCCAGGCACCAAGAACCCCGCACAAGAACCCCGTCCCGGTTGCTTGGTGTCTTAAGGGAAGACAGGGACTGTGGCTCCTGAGAGTTCTTGGCCACCCCATCCCTTTGATCAGACTGTTTAGGATCAGCTCTAGCCGGGGAGGAAAGAGAAGCAGCTGGTATATCAGATTATTCTAGAGGACAAACATTAGTGCTACACCATTCCCCCCCGGACTACAGGATGAGGTGTGGGGATCCACCCCAGCGAAGGGGCCTTGTTCCCACCAGGGCATCTATTGGCTGACAAAGGATATCTCGCTGGTGTCTCCTTCAGAGTGGAGAGGAAGTTGCTTCCCTGAGAGCCTGGGGAGGAGAAAACAGGACAGGGCACAGCTCAGATGGACAGTGACCACAGCCCCTTGACTTGGCAGAGCTTGCCGGCCCACCCCTCCTGCACACCCCTGCCCCCACTCCCAACTCACGCAGCGTCAGGTGGGTGACCACACAGGCGAAGATGAAGGCCGTCAGGAACGAGAGGGAGAGAATAAACGCGTAGAAGAAGCGGTAGTTCCGTCTCCCCACACAGTTGCCCACCCAGGGGCAGTGATGGTCAAACCGTTCTGGAAAAGGGCCGGGGGGGGGTGGGGGGGTGGGGAGGGGAACAGGTTAGTGTGCCTGGGCTGCAACCAGCACAGGTGTTTGGAGGCCTCACGCCACAGCTGGGGCTTTCTTCCCCCACACTCTCTGTACCGGCCCATTCAGCCGATTCGCAGCTCCTCACACACTCCCTGCTTCTGGGCCTTTCTGCAAGCTTCCCACTGCCTCACACATTCTTCTCTGTCTCTTCACCTGGTTAAGGGCAATTCCTCCTTCATATCTCAGCTGCAAAGCCACTTCCTTAAGAAAGCCTCCTCTGATCCTAGACAAGGTGAGGGCCTTCTGTTACCCGCTGCTACTTATCTTCTGCGGCTCTTTGCCCATGTGTGTTTACATACTTATTAATAATTAGCGGACTGGCCAATTACCCCTGCTGGATGGTAAACTCCACGAGAGGGCCGGTGTTGGCCTCACACCGAGCTGAGTCCCACGTCCAGCTGTGCATGGTACGAAGATGCACAAAAAGTACTTGTCGCCTGGCATACGACCCTGGCCACCTGCGACAAACAATGCTCCCCATTCCCTGCTCCAGAACTAGAGGCTCAGGGAGGGGCGGAGCCGCTCTGTAACTTGTGGAGAGCTGGCATGTAAGGCCTGGCCAGAGGGCTGAGCTCACACTAGCACTCCGGGGGGGGGGGCGGGGGCCCCCCCGCCGGGGCTGGTGTCACACCCAGACTGGTAATGAAAGTCCTCTGTGGGAATGTGGATCACAAGCCCACTGCAGGCCTCCTACCATGGCCAGCACCCTTTGCGGATTCTCAGGGAAGAATAACACCCACTGAGTCACCCACTCGGCTGCCTGCTGTCATGGGGTGTTCCCTACTGTTCTCTCAGGGAGTGCTGAGCTAGCGTGATGAGCTCACTGCCCTGGGGACCATGCTCAGTCACCATGGCTCAGCTCACCTGGATCCTCTTACATAGCATTTCCCTTATGACACCCTTCCAGGGGCACACCCTCGGTCCCCATCAGAGCTGCCCGGCCTCTGGAGAACAAGAAGAGGAGACAAAACAGCCTCTGGTTCCCCAGCAACCACCGCAGGTGTGGGCCTGGAGCTTAGCTTCCAATCCTGGCTACATCCTCTCTACCTGACTGGCTTGAACTCCTCTGTTCTCACATTCTTGTCCCTCCCAAACCCTGGGAATCAGATCAAAGTCATTCAGTATAGCTGGCTCTGGGCTGCTGGATGGTAAATCATTCTCTTTCTGGCCCCACAGTATCTAGAATGTTATTGCTCTAGTCTCTGGTTCCTAGAAACTTGGACCTACTGAGGACCAGGCTGAGGCCTGGGAGAAGGGTCCAGGGTCTCTCTGTATCTCCCCCATACTTCAGAGCTGGGGGAAAGGAATCTACCAATCCTGGGCTGAGGCCAAGATACCACTGGTCACACTCTGAGCCTCTCCCCACAGCCCTTCCTCAATCAGAGCAAATTTGGGTGACTTCCTGCCCAGCTCTTGCTATTTCAGACACACCCCCGCCCCCATGAGTGACTCCTCTGTCTTCAGGGCTCCCTGCACCACTCCCTGCTGCCTCCCACTTACCCACACAGTTGTCACAGACACTGCAGTGTGAGGTCCGGGGTGGCCGAAACATCTTGCAGGTGAAGCAGTACTTCAACTTGACCATCTGCCCGTTGATCATCACCTCCCGGGTCCGAGGGGGTGGCCGGTACGTGGAACTGCCTGTGTTATCTGGGGGTGGGAGGACAGAAAGATGGGGAATGTCCAAGCCCAGAGGAAGAAGCCCCAGCTGGGTGGAAGCCACTGCTGCCTGGCACGGACAAGAGAAGCCTTAGGGAAGCTATTTCCTGGGAACAAGCCATTGGCGGGGCCAAGACGGGGACAGATATTAAGAGCTGCTACCTACCAAAATTTGCTGTGTGCCAAGCCCTGTGCTAAAGCATTACCCACGTGCTCACGCACTGTTGGTCTTATACAACTTTGAGAAGGCGACTCTGGGAAGACTGGGGGAGGTTTATCTAGTCAAGCCTAGACCTAAGTTCCAGTTTCTAGGAGGTACAGGGGATGGAAGACAAAGTAAACAACACTATGAGAAAACAATCAGATCCAGGATGTGGGGCACCTACAACACCACTGATCCTGATGTCTAACAAAATCCACGTCACTTACAAAGAGAGGGAGATTGTTCTAAATGAAGAGACGTGAACACATGCAAGGCATGATTCTAGACCGGATTCTGTCTTGAATTTGGTGGGAGAGTGGTGAAAAAGGCCTATAGATTAGAAATTTGGGAACTATTAATTTTCCTAGCTATAATAACGAAATTAGGGTTATGCAGGAGGTTGTCTTTAGATTTTGAAGACACAAGTTGAAGTATTTATATATACGGCGTCTATGATAGCTACAATTTACTATGAAATGGCTTCATAAGAATTGTAAGTACAGGGGCACCTAGCTGGCTCAGTCAGTTAAGCGTCCGATGTCGGCTCGGGTCATGATCTCACGGTTCGTGAGTTGGAGCCCTACCTCGGGCTCCATGCTGACAGCTCGGAGCCTGGAGCCTGCTTTGGATTCTGTGTCTCCCTCTCTCTGCCTCTCCCCTGCTTGCACTCTGTCTCTCTCAAAAATAAATAAACATTAAAAAAAAAAAGAATTGTAAATATAGGGGCGCCTGGCTGGCTCAGTCGGAAGAGCACGCAACTCTGGATCTCGGGCTTGTGAGTTCGAGACCCATGTTGGATGCAGAGATTACTTAAAAATAAAATCTTAAAAAAAAAAGAACTACAAATATATATGACACAAATAAGATACACTAATAACAACTATTAAATCTAGATGATGAACATGCATAAATTAATTATATTGGGGCGCCTGGGTGGCATAGTCGGTTAAGCGTCTGACTCTTGGTCTCAGGTCATGATCTCACAGTTTGTGAATCTAGGGCCTGCATCTCGCTCTGCGCTGATGGCACAGAACCTAGTTGGGATTCTGTCTCTTCTTCTTTGCCCATCCCCCGCTGGTGTGCGCGCATTCGCTCTCAAAATAAATAAATAAACTTAAAAGAAAGAAACTCATTGTATTTCACACTTTTCTGGATGTTGGAAGTTTTTCATAATAAAAATTTTAAGAGGAAAAGAAATGCAGAGATATATTGCATTCATGGATTAAAAGACACAATTTTAGAAAAGGTTTTATTCTCCCTAAGTCAATCTGTAGATCAACATAATCCCAATCAAAAATCTCAGTATGGTTTTTTTTTTTGGGGGGGGGGGAGGGTTGAAATTGACAAACTCGTTATAAAATTCATATGGAAATGCAAAGGGCCAAAGACAGCCAACGCATTCCTGAAGGACAAAGCTAAGGACTCCTATGACTAGAGATCAAGACTAATGATAAAAAGCTAATGATTAAGAAGGTCTGGTTTGGGTGCGAGGGTAGAAATGCCGATCAATGGAACAGAAAAGAGAATCCAGAAACAGACCTGGCATGTAAATGACCAAGTGGTTTACGACAAGGGTAACACTGAAGTGGTGTGAAAGAAAATAGGCCCCCAATAAACAGTGCTGAGTCCACTGGGTAAACAAATGGGGGAAAAAGCATCTGTATCCTGCCTCCCACCAAACACAAATTCAATTTCAGACAGATTGTAGCTCTAAATGCAAAAGCCTGGGATTAAAAAAGAAAAAAAAAAATAGGAGACATGACTGTGGAGCAAAGATTTCTTAAGACCCAAAGGGGCAAATCATAAAAGAGCAATTTGGTATAACTGCATCACATCAAAATTAAGAACTTCTTTTTCTTTAAGTATATTTGAAAGAGAGTGTGAGCCAGGGGAGGAGCAGAGAGAGAGGGAGAGAATCCCAAGCAGGCTCCATGCTGTCAGCACAGAGCCCAACATGGGGCACAATCTCACAAGCTGTGAGATCATGACCTGAGCTGGAATGAGGAGTCGAACGCGTAACTGACCGAGCTACACAGGTGCCCCCAAAATGAAGAACTTCTATGTGGGGCACCTGGTTGGCTCAGTTGGTAGCACATGCAACTCTTGATCTCTGGGTCGTGAGTTTGGCCCCATGTTGGACAGAGCAATTACTTAACAAAAATAATAATAACTTGTGTTCATCTAAAGACACAATTAAAAAAATGAGGGGCGCCTGTGTAGCTCGGTCAGTTGGGCTCCGACTTTGGCTCAGGTCATGATCTCACTGTGAGTTCAAGCCCTGCATCGGGCTCTGTGCTGACAGCTCAGAACCTAGAGCCTGTTTCAGATTCTGTGTCTCTCTCGCTCTTTGCCCCTTCCCCTGTCATGCACTGTGTCCCTCTCTCTCAAAATAAATAAACCTTAAAAAAAAAAAGTCTAAAAAAAAAATGAAAAGGTGACCTTCAGAGTAGAAGATTTGAACAAGAACAAAGCATTTGTAGCCAGAACATATGAAGAATCCCTATACGTCAGTAAGAAAAAGTTCAGACATCTCAATTCAAATGTGGACAAAAGATTCAAACAGGTATTTCATAAAAGAAGCTGTCCAATGGCTAATAAACACATGAAAAGGTATTCATGCTCATTAGTCTTCAATGAAATGCAAATAAAACCATAACATGTTACCACCACACATGTACCAGAATGGCTAAGATGAAAACAATTTTAAAAATCAAGTGTCGGTAAAAATGTAAGGCAACCAGAAATCTCATAACCACTCTGAAAACCTATTTAACACTAACCACCAAAGTTCAACATATGCACCCCCAGCAAGCCCACTCCTAGGTATCTCCCCAACAGAAATGTGCATGATTAAAAAAAATTCTTTAAAAAATTTTTTTTAAGTTTATTTATTTTTGAGAGAGAGAAAGAGAGAGAGACGGAGCTCGAGGGGGGAAGGGCTAGAGAGAGAGGGAGACACAGAATCTGAAGCAGGCTCCAGGCTCCGGGCTGTCAGCACAGAGACCGAGGCGGGGCTTGAACTCACGAACCGCGAGATCATGACCTGAGCCAAAGTCGGACGCTTAACCGACTGAGCCACCCAGGCGCCCCATAAAAAAATTTTTTTTAAGTAAACTCTACACCCAACATGGGGCTCAAACTCATGACCCTGAGATCAAGAGTCACATATTCTCTGACTGAGCCAACCGGCCCCCTGAAATGTGCAAGATTTGATGTGCACCAAAAGATGTACAGGAATATTCACAACAAGAATCTCATAATAGCCAAAATCTGGACCCACCCAAATGCCCATAAATAGAACAGATTAACAAAAGGTAGTATGGAGTTCTGTAGAGCAAAGAATGAATGATCCTCAACCACACATAAGAACTATGGATAAATCGGGGCGCCTGGGTGGTGCAGTCGGTTAAGCGTCCGACTTCAGCCAGGTCACGATCTCGCGGTCCGTGAGTTCGAGCCCCGCGTCGGGCTCTGGGCTGATGGCTCAGAGCCTGGAGCCTGTTTCCGATTCTGTATCTCCCTCTCTCTCTGCCCCTCCCCCGTTCATGCTCTGTCTCTCTCTGTCCCAAAAATAAATAAACGTTGAAAAAAAAAATTAAAAAAAAAGAACTATGGATAAATCTCATAAACATGTGTAAAGTGAAGAAACCACACACGTAAGAACACAAAATGTTCAAAAACAACTAAAAGTAATCTAATATGGTAGCAGTCAAGATCATGGTCACCTCTGGAGGGGTGACACTGACCAGAAAGGCAAGGGGGAGCTCCTGGGACACTGCTCATATACTGTTTCTTGATCAGGGTGCTGATTACATGTGTGTGTTCAGTTTGTGAACACTCAACAGAACACTTAGGATTTGTACACTTTTTTGTAAGCCCATTATATTTCAGTAAAAACTTAACAAAAAGAAAGATTTAAGGGGCTCAGCTGGTTGAGCGTCTGAGTTCAGGCTCAGGTCATGATCTTGCAGTTTGTGGGTAGGTTCGAGCCCCACGTCGGGCTCTGTGCTGACAGCTCAGAGCCTGGAGCCTGCTTCGGATCCTGTGTCTCGCTCTCTCTCTGCCCTTCCCCTGCTCGTGCTGTGTCTCTCTCTCAAAAATAAATAAACATTAAAAAAAAAAATTTTTTTTTAAAGAAAGAAAAGAAAGGTTTAAGTAACTTGTGCAAAGTCACAAACTCATATGCTGGCAAGCAGGAATCCAAACACCTGGTCTCTCATATGCAAAAGCCCACAATTATACCCACTGAGCTTCTTGGTCTCCCAGACCTCAAAGGACCAAAGTCCCCAGGGCAGTGGCTTATTTCTGGACAGAACCTGAGAACCACATGAGGCTGCCTGTGATCCCTAGCCCTTTACTATGCTCCCAGCCATCACTTCTACCAGATCCACTCCCCAGATAGTATCTCCAGTTTGGCCACCTGCCTCCAATGATTACTGAGTGTCCGGCAGGTGCCAGGCACTATTCTAGGCACTTGGCATGCATCAATGAAGCACACAGACTTGTGTCTCACATTCCAGTTACCAAACAGACTCTTTCTTACTAGGCTGTTCACCATCCCCCCAACCATAACATGTTTAAAATGGAACTAAGCAGGGGCCCCTGGGTGGCTCAGTTGGTTAAGCGTCCAACTTTGCCTCAGGTCATGATCTCATGGCTTCTGAATTTGAGCCCTGAGTCGGGCCCTGTGCTGACAGCTCAGAGCCCGGAGCCTGCTTCAGATTCTGTGTGTGTCTCTCTCTCTGCCCCTCCCCAACTCGCACTCTGTCTCTCTCTCAAAAATAAATAAACATTAAAAAGAATAAAAATAAAATAAAATAAAATAAAATAAAATAAAATAAAATAAAATAAAAT